AATCTTCTGGACCATACTTTTAAAAGAGTTTTAACTTCATTTATCTTGGAAGGATAGTTAAGATCACTTATAGATGTAATATTTGTTGATAAAGTTACTCCCAATAATTTAAATGGACCTTTGTCCCATTTAACACCGATTTCCGGACATAACTCTAAATCGCTATTTCTCATTGCACCTATCCATAACGCCCTAGTTTTGTCAACATTTATTTTTAAACCAGAGATATCTGCATAAAATTTTAAAACTTTCATAGTATGAACGAGGGATTTTTCAGAACCGTCTAATATCAAAGAGGTGTCATCTGCGTATTGTGACATCAAATACTCTATACCCTTAATTTTGATACCTTTGATATTACTATTTTTTTTTTATAAGTAAAGCAAGAATCTCCGCGCACACTGGCAATAACAAAAGTTATCATAAGAACTCTGTGACATCTTCAGAGTTATCACAAGAACTCCAGGACATTTGAAAAATCTGGTATAAATCTGTTAGCCTGTGCTTTATGTTTGCAATTTTGCATTATAATTAGGTAATTATGTATGGCAAGGATGAAGACCAGAAATAAACAGGTCAATACTTGTGAATTGGCAAATAATTTGGAGATTTTACTAAAAAACTACCACATTTGAAGCAAGAGGCGATAACAAAATGACATGTGAATTAGTTTTTGACACATAATACAAGATGTAAGGCAAGCTTATTCATTAAAGTTTAATTTAGCACCTAAAACTCGTTTTTGAACGATGAAAATAACAACTTTTTACGAATGTTTTTGTGTTATACACAGATGTTTTCCGACGAACTCCGTGACAGTTATCACAAGAAATCCTGAACAAGTTATCATAAGAACTCCATCCTTCGTGTAACACTTCCTCCCCCGTGTGTATGAAGGGGGAGACATTTTCACCTATTGGATTGCTAAGATTTATGTGGATTGTCAAAAGTTATATGGAGTTCTACTCGGTAAACAGTCCCAACTGGCCATAAATGAAGGAACTTGCAGACCATGAGACAGGGTGTTCTGTACCAAGACAGAGGCGGACCGGAGGTTGAGACAGGGTGAACCGGGAAGGCAGTGATGCTCAGATTCTTCACTCAGTAAGAATGTGAACTCAAGGTCCTGATCTTCAATTACTTCATTTGTTTATTTGGAGTTGAGGTGCTGGAAAAATAACTGGCACAGTGAATGGTATCACAAAAAGCAAAGACTGTATTAAAAGTTAGTGCAAAGGGATACATTTTGTACTACAAACTGAATTCATAGATTATATAAAAGAAATTAATTAATTAATCTTTATAGTAAACATAAAAATTTAGATATTGAGCATTTAATTTTGATATGTGTGTGTGTGTGTGCATGTGTGTGGGTGTTTTATAGATTATATAGTGAACCTAAAACATCTTCTTCTGAAAGACATTTTGTCTAATTTCAACCAAACTTAGCAGGATTGTTCAAGGGGTGAAGGGCTTCCAAAGTTGTTCAAAGAATTCCATAAGACCTAGAGCATATTAGATGTTTTGCATGAGGCATTTATCTGGTAGACTTCACCAATAGTGTTTACATTTTACCCTGGGGTCAAAATTAGCCCCACCATGGAGGTCATAGGTTTTCCTTATATGTATGTAGTATGAACTTGAAATTTTCTGCTCTGAATTGACAAAGGCTAGAGGTTAGATACTTGTCATGAAACAGTGTAGACACATGTAGACACAAAATTGATTTCGGAGAAAATAGTATAATACTTTACATAATTCAAATCTGTTTGGTTTTATATATAATTTTGTACGCGTGGCGTTGTTACTTCGGCGCGATATAATCAAACACGTGCACTATTCTAATTTCTAATACAAATTATACATTTCGATAATATACGTATAAGTAGCTCTATCTGATTGCACTTTTATTGATAACATTTATTTAATTTTATAACTTACCTTCAAACGCTTCTATTTGTTAAGATAATGTTATTCTAATTAAGGAAAAAAATGACACATCAATGATTGTCTATCTACATCTCTGACAAAAGATAACGACACAAGCATAGCTATTATTAATATTTCAAATCACAACTGTCTTGAACACTAAGTGAAAACACAATTTATATAACATATTAAATAAGGTTTAAAACGTTTTTAAAATTATGTATCAGAACATAATTATAATTATTCATAACGAAGGTTGTCATATTTAAAAATCGCTGCAATACATGCTTTTTAAAACACTCCCGTGTGTTAGAAAATTATTGAATTCCCACAAAAAGTTATACCATTAGATGCGAAATTCATTTTGAAATAAAATGATATATGATTCAACTATTTTGGAGTAAATTTAAGACCGTACGTGTGATTCTAACGTCACCACCCCTAACCGTGTGATTATTACGCCGCCGCGTTATAATCACACGCGTGTTAATATTACCACACGTGTGATAATTACGCGCCACCGGACGCTTCATTTAGATAAGAAAGGATCCCGGATTAGAAGGGTTCGGATTAGCAAGGCTCCACTGTAAAGATACTTCAAAAAGAATGAATCAGCACCTTACATTTTCTAGTTAATTTACATTAAAGTTTTTCTTAAATTAAATGCATTATAATATGAATTTTGCAAGGTAACACGATTATCACATTTCAAAAGCTCTATAAGCTTCATTACATTTGGCCTTATATAAAATATGATTTAACGAATCGTTTCTTTATATTTGCGTATACTGGACATAACATTACAAAATGATATACGTCTTCTATATCTCTTTCGCTACAAAATATAAAATACCGCACATTTCTTTTTATCTATTCCTAGCGTATCGATCGGTTTCAATGGCTTCAACTTGTGCGGCGATAGTCTAAGCTAAGACAGAACGCTTTTAAATTTAATGGCACTATATCTGAATATTTTTCAAACCCCAATGAGTTTTTTCATTATTGTATATTTCAAATGTGACGCATCACTGAAGTCGTTGATGCCAGTTTTGTTTTTTATTTGTTTGTTTGTTTCATTTTACGCCTTTTCCCAACAATACTTCAGTCATATAGGCGGGTAGTTTCATAACCACCGTTCCCGGAGAGCTACACCAGTATTAGACTACCTTTTTCCGCGCTAAACTACCAAAGAATCTCCCGGGGATTGAACCCACGCCAGAGAGGTAACTGGATTACATGTTTAAAAGTATTTATGAACAGCCACGCGAGAAATAACAAACTATCAAATTGTGTTTAATGGCCATACTATAAGGTATGGCTTCTATTTATTATTTTAACCAACAATAAACATGTGCAAAGAATAGTACATACATCAATATTATGCAAATTAATACAATATAGAAAAACACATGTAGAAATATTAATTAATCGAATTCTACTATAATAGTAAGAAATGTGAGAGTTTCGTAAGAAAAACGCCATAAAAGCTAGAATAAAGCTAGCTTTTCCCCACATTTCACTACATAGGAGAGAAGACCAAGGTTAATGATATAACTGGATTGGATATTTAAAAGTATACATTAATCTTTCTTTGAAAACTAGATGAAACTTAAGTAAGTTTACACCGAATGGATTGTTCCAAACACACGAAAGACCTTAACAATCTAAAATGTTTTTAATTTGATATGCCCAGTTATTTCTATTAACCGTGCGTTTACAAAAATATCTTTACATTTTTGCTAACAAAATATTAGAAGACGTTATTATTTTAAACCAGAATTAATAATACGTACATACCTATTTTCATACAATGGGTAACGCCCCATTTATCCATAAACACCCATATACTACAATTTGTCATCCAAAAGAGATTTGCACAATTTTAAAAGGTTACCATACAATACACATTATTCTGCTATAAACTTACAAAGTTTATAGCAATAACAGCAACATAAATACATGAGAAATGGTTTACACAGGGTATATGAATACTGTTAGAAATTCACAATTACAATAATGTATGATACTTCATTTTCAATTGTTCATAGAGAAAAAAATAAAATCATAAATGATAATTTGTAACAAAATCATAGTCTGAACAAAAATCCTTAGCACCCGTATTATTGCTAAATCATTTTTAATACAAAAACTCACATTTAACCAGGCGACATTCCTTATCAAACCAATCGGCTTTTTTACAATATCTATCATTGATTTTAATTTTGGTTGGATCTTTTAGTGTATATTTCTTAAAAAAGGGCAATGAAGAATGATTTAGTAATATACCGTGAATTGATTATTTATACTAGCATTAACAACATTTTAGTAACTTTGTATAGATAACATCAAACTAATATTTGTAGTTGATAATCAAACTAGGGAACGGCAAAACATAATGTGATTTAACATATTTAGTTACCACCAAAAGAACATAAACATTGATATAAAGACAGTTACAGTACACTGGAATAATATGGCAAAAGGGCTGACTAACAAGTTCTTTTAACACTAGCAACGGGTCTTTCCTTATGCAAAAAGTAACAAAAACATTTTTTTTACAAGAATCAGTTGATATTATACATCACTATGGACATGAATTTGCCTTATGAAAAAAAGGAGTTTAAACAGTATTACTTGGTCAAATACGACGTTAATGTTATGTCTTCTCAGTTTACGAATCTGTTTATCTTTGAATCTTCATTTGTCATTTAAAACAACCACAAACGGTAGATAGTTTGAAGGAGTTGGAGAAAAAGTTGCGTACAAATGAACGTGATCCATTTTCATTAGAGTTGCCATATTTTGGTATAAAAAAAGATTAAAACATTTGAGAATTGATAAAATCTGACAAATTCACATGGTCAAAACACTTTCAAATATCATAAAAAAGTTAATGGAAAAAATCAAAAGAAAATTTATACATATAGTTCTTGTAATAAAGGACAAAATAGACAGTGCTTAAATACTACGATTTTTGTTTGTTTGCTGTTTTTTATCTTTATATAAAACAAGAGGGCCATGATGGACCTGAGGTCGCTCAGCTGTATATAGCCCCCCCCCCCCCCCACACACACACACACACCCATAAGAAGATGTTTCATGCTAAACATCTAAGCTCTAGCTCATTGGGCTTTTTAAAAGAAGATTTTTTTTAAGTTTTTACTATACACATATAGTTAAAAACAATGACACCCCTGGGGCGGGGCCAATTTTGACCCCAGGGCTTTTATTTGAACAAACTTGGTAGACACCTGTTAGAACATGTTTGATGCTAAATATCTTAGCTCTAGCTCTTTGAGTTCTTTAAAAGATGATTTTTTAAGTTTTTACTATATGCATATAGGGAAAATCAATGACCCCCTGGGGCAGGGCCAATTTTGACCCCAGGGCTTTTATTTGAACAAACTTGGTAGACACTCATTAGAACATGTTTCATGTTAAATATCTTAGCTCTTTGGGTTTTTTAAAAGAAGATATTTTAAGTTTTTTCTTTCGGTTGCCATGGCAACCAGAGTTCTGCATGGAAGTAAATTCTTTGAACAATTTTTAAAGGTGACCACCAAAGGAACATTCCTGTGAAGTTTGGATGAAATTGGCTTAGTGGTTTATGAGGAGATATCATTTAAAGTAAAAGTTTACGGACGACGGACGGACGACGGACGGACGCCGGACGAAAAGCGATCACAAAAGCTCACCCTGTCACTTTGTGACAGGTGAGCTAAAAAATCACGATTGATGTTTATTTGCATTCATATAATAATGATAGTTTAAAAACAGTTATAATACTATTAAACAGATAGGAAAAAATTAAATGCAGTTTTCGTCCTTTTTTTCTTTCTTTCTTTTTTATCATTTTCTATTTTCACTTTTTTGAAAATTACACAGTTAAGTTAATAATAATCAACATGACAACAATAACTGATCTCATATATCACTACATCTGTATATTGAAACGGCGGCAAATAATTGTACGACACAGCGTAACTACAAAATACGTTAAAGATCCTGTAACTCAATTTTTTATGGTTTTATATCATAAATATAATGCTCAAATAAAGAATTATTATTATTGTAAGTTCCAAAAAGTATTTTTTGTAACGATATTACTGAATTTTATGTTAATAAAGGGAGGTTATTATAAACATAATTATTTTCTTTAAGGTCTGAGTCAAATTTTTCAGTAAGAAATTAATGCATATATTTTAATGGTTACATATAATGTGAACAAATATTTGCAGTTAATATTGTACATTTTCTTCAATGTTTGAAAATTGTTTTAGAAGCACAATTATATACATAAATTATATAAAAACTTTACTTAAGTGTCATTACATCCTGAATTTCATCACATAGGATCTGTTCAGGTGGCAATTGGAGTTTTGACTCGTAACATAACTCATAAACTTGCCTGGTCTAAAATAGAAAAATATTAATTTTATTTGCAATAAAGGTATAAATAATGTAGGAATAAATGATAGAATCATTATATAACCTTTCCTTTCAAACGCCAGCTTTCAATTTACTATTGAAAATGGCGGCGTGGCCGAGTGGTTAACGCACCGGACTAGTAATCTAAGGATTGCTGACCGCATGGGTTCAAACCCTGTCAGGGGCAAGCCGTTGTTTTCTTGAGCAAGAAACTTAACATTCATTGGTTCGTTTTGGTTTGAATAAGGGCAGCAGGTCATATGTTGGGCCAGAGCAATTTAAGGTTCTTAACTGGTTACCGGTCTCCAAAAGAGTTGATCAGTAATAAAGTCTGACACAGCCCAAAATACATAAAGGAGCATTTTGTACCCCTTAATCAGGTCCATGACCGCTGTACCAGGTCAAGAGTGTTTGCACTTTCATCAACTGTTTCCTGTGTAAGCTATTCTTTTAGTGACACAGGACGATTTTCTTTACCAAAGGTAGGAAGCTTTGGTAGAAAATATTTTGCGTTTGATGGTATTGCACTATGGAACGGCCTTCCTCAAAATCTTAGAAATGTTCAATCTTCCCACACCTTCAAGCATGCCATCAAAGCCCATTTAATGGCCAGTTAATTTTAGTTTATTTTTCAATAGTATCTGAATCTTTAAATAGTCTTAATAGAGTCCCAGATTTTACATATTCTTAAGTTTAAGCAAAACACACATATGTTGTGATTGTCCTTTAAATTAGTAATTTACCCATTTTTAGCTTGCACATTTAACGTTTTATAATATTTTTATTAATTTTTTACAGTTTGACTGACAATTTCTGTGATGCACTGTTTCATGATTCATTGATGTGATACAAACTTGGACTGTGATTTTAATGTGATACAAACTTGGACTGTGATATATTGTGATATCAACTAAATTATTGCAATTAATGCGTTATTGAATAATACAAGAATTCATTTCAATTTCATACAAATTAACATGACTTTCTATGTTATGCCTCCAATGTCAGGGACCACAATGGAAATAAGAAGAATCCTTTCCTCTTTCTTGTATTATCCCTGGTATTGGTGGGCACTAAATGGCTCATATATTTATATTTTGTCGTATATTTATGTCATGTCATATTTCTAGTCTCCTTAATAATTTGATTATTGTTATATTTATTGTATCATTATGCATCATTATGTCATTACCATGTCATGTACACTTTTACCGAATAAAACTAACTAACTAATTGCTTAGTACTGGCTGGTTCCAGGAGGGAATTCGAGTGTGTTTCAGGAAGATTACAGCTTCCAACCCAATCAAACTAAAATAAATGTGTATAAACTAATTTACAATTGCGTAAATATAGTTAGTTAAAGTGAATAAAGCTATGTATCTGATGCAAAATTTATTGTTTGAATTTAAAAGATATACTTCCAAAACGCTTGCATGAAATAAATATGATAATAGCGCATGCACAAAACCATTGCCAAACGGATAAAAACCTACTTTAAATAGCAAAATAATATTTTGTTTCGGAATATTTTATTCTGTTTACGTACATTAATCATTGTGTATTAATTAACAGAGACATTCTATGCTACAAATAGTTCGGGAATTAACCATAGAAAAATGGAACCAATATATTTCACTGTTTACTGTAAGTGTTGTGAAGGAATGAATAGGATTTGTTCAGAAATCAATACAACGTTTAATACATTTTAAAAGGTGTGTACGTGAAGCGCACTAATTAGTTATAGACAAAGAACAGTGTACACATAAATTGCTACTGCTATTTGTTTATTTGGCAAAATATTAATTCCAGTCATTCCATGTTATGCAAATAGCTGGCTTAATGGATTTGCAAATCATTATAGGGGATATTTATATTTGTAAACGCTCTCATTACATATTAAAATAAATTCTTATATATCGCACATCGAAATACAAGCAGTTCAATATCTATAAACAGTTTTACCTGTCCGTCTGTTTTCTTCTTCTTTCTTTTCTCTTTCTATTGGAAAATTCTAAAATTTTCAATATTTTACATTGATAACCAATATCAAAAAGTAAAACAAAACTTTTTCATAATTAACGGAAGACTCTTATCAAGACCATGATTGATTCAATATATAAGGAAATACTAATGGTTGATGAACGTAGTCACATGTGTATATATAAAACGTATAATAGTAAGATACTGTATGATAGTCATTATAACTATGTCATTATTGATGCACAATCTTAATAGTTTTGTGTCGAACTTAAATATCGATAAATGCAGTGTCTGTGATTTAAGTCTTTTTTTAATCATTTTCTAGTGCATTTTTACCTGACTGTTTGTCATGTGTGATTCTTCATCGTACGTTTTGAGCTTTGCACATATGTGGTCGGACATTGTAATCTGTACATTATTTGTTCCATCGGGCTTATCTACATCAGAGTAATGGCCGGTTTCTACAAGTTATGTAATATAAATATGACATGAGAAAGATATGGGTTTCATATACCATGCAAAATACAGATACGACAGAATACGTTTGCTATTTCAAAGATGATTTAAACACCAGAAAAAGCAATATCCTCGTTTGCCCCTCCCTTTTACCCGCATCAGGCAATAGAGACATTGCTGAAAAGTACCGTATAATTCATATTCTAAAAAAATCACTACTTTTCAATTACCATTTAACGCAGGTTATTATAACAATATTTAACGCCAGCTATTTGATGTATATAAAAATAAAGAGAAAAGAAAAAACAAGGTATTAACAAGTAATGGTTTGGAAACAATGTTTTTGCTAGACTGGTTTATGAGAAACAAAGTGATGCAACAATTATAGCTCTAAACAAATCTACTGTTTTAAATATAATACATACAACACATCATAATTTGTATGCGAGAAGTTGGCAGTGAAAAGTGAGCTAAGCAAAAAGGCATTACATATAAGGAAATCAATGATCTGCTGGCTAAGCAATCTAGCGAGGCATTCCTAATATAGATCTATATATATAGTAACAAACTGCACTACAAATTGAAACTGGCTCAACATTCGCTTATATAGAGTTCTTTCTCTGTAATCATGTCTCACAAATCAACGATGACATTTTTATTGTCTTTTTCACTGATTGTATATTCTGATACAGAAATGAGAGAATAAATACACACATGCCATCATATCGATATGTCAGTCCAATTACGACGCAGCAAGCGCCTAGCAGAACAGTTATGAAAACATACCCACTGCTAATCCACCATCACAAAAAATGATGGTTTCAGAACAGCTTACATGTATTACATGCATAGCTAGAATGCTCACCCAGCAGAGAAATCCAGCAATAGAGTACAAATGCTCTACTAGAATGCTCAGCTGGCAGGGCAATAAAAGCAAAGATTTTGTTAAAATAGTACGAAATGCTCTGCTGGAATACATTACAATACAGCGGGACATTTTTTAATATGGAATAAAATTGCCCTGCTGAATATGCTGAGCTGGTTAGGGAAACTAGCAAGAAATTTCTAAATATAGAGTAAAATTGCACTGTTGAAATACTCATCCGGCTACGCATCCTAGTAAGGCATTCCTAAATATAGTGTACAAATGCTGGAATGCCAAGCTGGCAGATCATTCTAGTGGGGCATTCCTACAAATAGTGTAAAAACTGCTCAGCTGGCTATGCAATCAAGGAGAGCATGCTAAGCAATCAAGCGGGGCATTTCAGAATTTAGTGTTATGATGCTCTGCTGGAATGCACAGCTATCAGAGCAATCTAGCATAGAGTTTTGAAAAAAAGAGTAAAACTGCTACCAAAAAGTTGATCTGGCTAGGTAAACTAGAATGTAATTCTCAAATAAAGTATAAAATTGTTCTGCTGAAATACCATGCTGGCAGAGCAATGTAGCAGAGCATTCTAAAATATAGAGTAACTAGAAATGTGTCCCCACGGGTGCCCCCACACGCCACTGTTCTGTCAATCTAATGAACTCTGGGTCAAATTTTGTTTGGACTACATGTGCCACAAGTTAAAAACTAAAAAATATCTCTGTAACGTTTCATGACTCTAGGTCAAATCCTTTTTGAGTTACATGCGACACATGTTGAAAATTGCAAATTTTTACTAAGTCAAGGGCAATAACTCAAAAAATACAAAATAAATCCACACAAAAATACCCAGGTGTACAACTACACATGCCGATCAACATTCCTGCAAAGTTTCATGACAAGGGCAATAACTCAAGAAACCCAAGGTGCACAATTGCACATGCTGATCAACATTCCTGTAAAGATTCATAACACTAGGTCAAATCCCTTTTGAGCTACGTGTGACACAAGTTGAAAATTGCAAAGTTTTACTAAGTCAAGGGCAATAACTCTAAAAATACTGAATTAATCCACATAAAAATACCCAAGTGCACAACTGCACATGCTGATCAACATTCCTGTTCAGTTTCATGACTCTAGGTCAAATACTTTTTGAGTTACGGACGGACGGACGGAAGGACGGACAGACAAGGGTAAATCTACCTCCCCCCCCCCTTAAAGTGGGGGCATAAAAATGCTCAGCTGGCTAGGTAATATAACACAGCATTCTAATATATAGTGTAAAAATGCTCATCTGGCTAGGCGATCTAGTAGAGCAATCTAAAATAAAGTATGAAATTGTTCTGCTGAAATGCCAAGCTGGTAGAGCAGGGCATTCCTCAATACAAAGTAAAATTTCTTCCTCTTTTACTCCTTATGCACCCTCTTATTATCATAATGCCTCTGAAAATGTTATTTTTATATAGACTTCTAGGGACTCGCCCGAGTCTATTTCGTTGGAATTCAACTGATTTTGGAACACTCACATACTTTTAAGAATTTTAGTGCAAAGGGAGATAATGTCATTTCTGACTTCTAGGGACTCTCCTGAAACCATTTCTTATGTCTGTAACTTATTCTTGCACACTCGCAGACATTCAGGAATTGTAATGCCAGTGGAGATAATGACATTTGTGACATCTTGTGACTTTTGGACTTTTAGGGACCCTCAGGAGTCCATTTTATTGCGTTTGACTGGTTATAATGCACTTTCAGAAATTTCTAATGACAGTTTAGAGTAAAAATGCTCTGCAGGAATGCAAATTGACGCCGAGGGTCCTTAAAATCAAAAACTGTCATATACTTTAATGGCACAAAAATTCCTGAAAGTCTGCGACTCTCAAAGAATCTGTCGAAGACCAAAGAAATTGACTCTTTAGGTTCCATAGAAGTCCAAATTGTCATTATCTGCATTGGTACAAAAAAATCCTGAAAGTCTGCGGGTATCCAACAATAAGTCGCAAGCCAATGAAGCTCTTAAAGGTCCCTTCAGGTCAAAAACATCATTATTTCAATTGGCACCAAAAATTCACGATAGCCTGCGAGTGCATCAGAATCAAAGAACCAAAGAAATGGACTATTGAGGGTCCATAGAAGTAAAATATGTCATTATCTTCATTGACACCAAAACTTCCAAAAAGTCTGCGAGTGAACAATTAGACGCAGCCCAATGGAATAAACTCGTCAAGCTTCCTAGAAGTAAAACACATCATTATTTCGATTGGCATCACAACTTCCAGAAGCGCCTGGAAGTAAAAAACGTTATGATGCCATTTTGCAACAAAAATCTTAGTCCATTTATCTGCACTCGGAGAATTTCAAGATTTTTGTTGCATCTAGATGGTCCCTAGAAGTCAAAGATGTCATTATCTGCATTGGCACTAATAATTCCTGAAAGTCTACGAGTGCCCTTAGAATTTGTCGCAGAAAAACGATATGGACACTCGAGGTTACCTAGAACCTACGAAAGATTATTATTCCATTTGTACCCAAAGTATTTGAGGTATGCGAGGATGTCAGTCGCATTCGCAGACAGCATTTCAGGACAGCAATTTTATACTATAAAAATACCCTGTTAGATTGCCGAGCCAGCTGCGAATTCAAAAATACAATTTTTAAACATTATTTTGGAATGCCCGGTTAGATTGCCAAGCAATCTGAACATTCCAGTAGACCAATTTTATGCTACAGTGTATATTAAAACAACGTGCCGCTTTATTTCTCTGCAATCGCTGTTTTATAGAATGCTCTGATAGATTGCTCTGCTAGCTCGGCATTTAGGCAAAGCAATTTCATACTTTATTTTAAAATGCATAGCTAAATCGACAAAGCCAGCTGAGCATTCATGCAGAGCATTTATACACTATATTTAAGAATGCCATGCTAGATTGCCTAGCGTGGTGGGCATTATCATTCTGTATTTTGGAATGTTACGCTATATTGCCCTACCAGCTGAGCATTACAGCTGAGCAGTTTACTATATACATATTTATTTCTGTATGCTTTGCTAGTTTGCTCTGCCAACTGAACATTCAAACAGAGCATATTACACAAAAATTTGGAATATCCCGATAAATTGCTTAGCAAGCTGAGCATTCCTGTAGAGCATTTCACACTATATTTCAGAATGCCCTGCTAGATTACATAGCTAGCTGAGCATTTTTTACACTTATTTAGAAATGCCCTGCTAGATTGCCTAGCCAGCTGAGCATTCCAGCAGAGCATTTTTTCGCTGTATTTCGGAATGCTCAGCTATTTTGCCTGGCCAGCTGAGCATTTTTTTCATTGTTTATAAAATGCCCTGGTATATTGCTTAGCCGGCTCAGCAATCTAGCAGAGCATTTTACACTAAATATCAGAGTGTTCTCCGAAATTCCCTAGCAAGCTGAGCATTTATCACACTATAATTCGGAATGCCCTGCTAGATTGCCTAACAAACGAAGCACTGCAGCAGAACATTTTACACTATATTTCAGAATGTACAGCTATATTGCCTAGCCAGTTGAGCATTTTTCACGCTACCGGTAATAAGGAAAGTCCTGCTAGATTGCCTAGGCATGGAATGTCCCGCTATATCACCCTGCCAGCTGAGCATTCTAACTGAATTTTTTTTTTCATTAAGAATACGTTGGTAGTTTTCTCTGCCAGCAGGCATTACCAGCTTAGCACTTTTTCTCTTTTTTAGGAATGCCCGGAAGATTGCTTTGCCAGCTCAGCATTTCAGCACAGCAATTTTATAATTTATTCTGAATGACCTGCTAGATTGCCTAGCCAGCTGAGCATTTCAGCAGTGCATTTTTTACACTTTATTCTGAAATGTCCCTCTATATTGCTCTGCCACCTGAGTATTAAACCTGGGCATGTTTACTCTATATTAAAAAATTATCTTCTAGAGTGCTCTGCCAGCTGAGCATTCCAACAGAGCATTTTATACAATATTTAGAATGTCCCGCTATATTACTTAGCGAATTGAGCATTCCAATAGAGCATTTTTTACACTTTATTTAGGAATGCCCTGCTAGATTGCCTAACCAGCTAAACATTACAGCAGAACAATTTTTGTACTATATTAAAGAATGTCCCGCTATATTGGTCTGCCAGCTTAGCATTCCAGCAGAGCATTTCACACTGTTTCAAAAAATGCCTTGCTATATTAAATTCTAATAGAGCAATTTTGACTCTATATTCCAGAATGCTCAGTCAGCCCGGCATTCCAGTAGAAAATTCATTACACTATATTAAATAATGCCGTGCAAGATGTCTCTGTCATCTCGCCATTTCAGCAGAGCAATTTAATACTTTATTTAAGAATGTCCCGCTAGATTGCTTAGCCAGCTGATCATTCCAGCAGAGCATTTCTCACGCTATATTTAGAAATGACGGGCTAAA